GGGTTGGGGTCCCATCCCCATCCCCATGGTGCCCCCATCCCCTTGGCACCCCCATCCCCATCCATCCCTTTGGCACCCCCATTCCCATGGTATCCCCATCCCTTTGGTGTCCCCATCCCTGTGACATCACCGTGGTGTCCCCATTCTTTTGGCATCCCCATTCCTTTGATGTCCCCATGCCAATGATGTCACCATCCCTTTGCTGTCCCCATCCCCATGACATCCCATTGGCATGCCTGTATCCACAGTATCCCCGTCCCTTTGGCATCCCCATCCCTTTGGTCTTCCCATCCCCATCCCTTTGGCACTCCCATCCCCATCTCTTGGGTGACCCCATGCCCATCCCTTTGGCATCCCCATCCCCATCTCTTTGACATCCCCATCCCTTTGGCATCTCCACTCCTTTGGTCTTCCATCCCCATCCCCATCCCTTTGGTATCCCCATCCCCATACCTTTGGTCTCCCCATCCCTTTGCCGTCCCCATGCCGATCCCTTTGGCATCCCCATCCCTGTGGGATGTCTGTCCTGTGCTGTCCCCTGTCTGACCCCGTGGTGCCACTGACCTGCAGGCTCAGGGAGGGCTGGCTGACCGCAGGACTGACCGCTGGGCTGGCGAGGCAGCGCGTGCCGTTGCGGATGCCCAGGATGACAGGAAGCCGCGCGGGCTCGAACGCTCGGTTGGGCACCCAGAACACCTTCTCTGCAGGTCACACACCAACAGGAGCCATCAGCCCACGCCTGGCACACGTCTCCCCACGTCCCAATGCCCACACGTCACCTTCCAGCGCGGCGTTGGCCCCTTGCAGGTGTCCAGCCACCAACTGGTCATCGCGCAGGTACAGCGACTTCTGGTTGACGTCCCAAATCCTGCGGGGACAGCGATGCCAGCGGTGCCCACCCTGTCCTCCCACCACCCCCCCGGGGGTGTTGCCCACCCTCCTTACCGATACTGGAAGACTTTGGTCTGCAGGGTGGGCGCGTGGCACAGGGCGAAGCCTTGAGCCTCTGCGCAGAGGAAGAGGAGGGCGAGGGTGAGGACGGGCGG